GGGAAGGGACTGACTTTGGTTGGTGGCCTCACCCCAGGCAAGGCCCGCCCACACACGCGGGACGGTCACCTCGATTCGAGTTGCCATGGACACACACACACCTCCACGGCACTATTCCCTTTTGCACAAGCGAACACTTATAGAGAGCGGCTCTCGATTAAAGGCTTGTGGGGGGGGGGAGAGAAGGGGGGTCTGTTCAAGGCAAAGTCAGTGCCAGCAAGGGGGTATGCCGGTGCCCTCGCCCGCTCCGGCCCACATGGGCCTGCCCTGGCCTCCTGAGAGCGGAAAGTGAGGCTGGGGTGTGGAAACTCCCAATGGGCAGGACGTCACAAACGTCACGTTCTCAGGGACAGAAAACCAGTCCACGGTGGCGGCAGCAACAATGTCCTGTGTATACTGTGTAGACATTTGGCGGAGAAAAGGGCCTCTGTCTCCCATGTGGGGACGCAGGCCTTGGGTCCAGCCGGCACTTGCTGGAATCGAGGCGTGCTCTGAGCCGACGTCCTGTAAGGAGGCGACGGGTGACAGGACGTCCTCCAGCTGGCTGTAAGGCAGATGGGCTCTGCAATCCTCAGCTGCCCGTCAGGCCTGCCCCGGGCATAGCATGCAGGAGGGCCAGGCCCAGAGACACCTCTGGCCACTGCTACCGCCTCCACTGCCAACCCTAACACTATGAAGAGTCAATGTTTTGCCAGAAAATCAGTCACAAGTCACCTAGGTGCTCTCAGAAAAGATTTTCTTCAAATATTGACAACAAATCACTCTGGAAATTCATGTCAATCGTAGCTGCCATCTGCAGAGGAAGAGGAAGGAATGAATGAGGCGGGGTACCCTGCTCCTGCTGTGGTTCCAAGATTCCGCATATGTTGCCTGAGTTCGGCCATCAGACCTTCTTCTGAGCCGTTGCCCACCCCGGAACCTCAGAGCATTTGGACTGTTTCCATCGGAGCTGAATCACCTCTGAGCCCACTGGCCAGCCTTGTAAAGGTGTGGGCCCCACCCTCCCCAGGCCTCTGGCCCACCCTGCCAGCTCCTCCAGGTGGATTCCTGCCCAATGGCCCCCCACAACTCACCGCCTCCCGGCGCCTTCGCTCCTGTTCCCGCTTTCGGGCCAACTCCCTCTGTTGGTCCAGCATGGACTGGGGCTGGGAGCTCTGGGCCTGGGGGGCGGCAGCTGCGGCCACAGCGGCCACCGCCTGCTGCTGCTGCTGCTGCTGCTGCTGCTGCTCTTGTCGCTGCTGTTGCTGTTGCTGCTGCTCCTGGCGCCGGCGTGCCTCTTCATGGGCCCGCCGTGCCTGCTCTAGTGCATCCTCATCTTCTCGGCTCCTGGTGCAGAGTGGGGGCCAGGGTGAGCTTGGGGACTGCTGTGGGCCTGGGAGCCCCAGCGCCCCACCCGAATCCTAGCCCACCTCATGCGTTCTTGCCGCAACCGCTCCTTTTCCTTCTCCGCGTGCTCAGCCTGAGCCTTCAGGGCCTTCTCACGCTCCTCCTTCTCACGAGCTGCACGGCGGAACTGCTCAAAGCTGTCACTGGATGACTTGGCTGTGGAGGATGGGGTGGTCGGATGCTTCTGTACCAGGCTGGCCCAAGAGCCCATGTTCTTAATTTTTAGGTCCTGTAGGGCAGAAAGGCCAGGGGACAAGTGAGGTACCTGGTGCACCTAAAGGTCATAGCAAGGACCTCAGGACACCCATGAACCTACTGCCTCTACCTTTTTGGGTGCCACCGGTGTCTTCGGCTCCTGCTTCTGTTTGTCCTTATCAGGAGCCCCTGGAGGGGGTGCATTCTGCTCAGGGGGCCGAATAACAGGCCTCCCAACATCCACAGGCTTCATCTCAGGCCCTGGAACACAAGCAGGCTGTGGACCTGGGGGACTCACCGTGGTGTGTGGGGGTTACAGTCCTCAGGAGGGGTGGGGGGACACTCACGCTGGGGTAGATGGACTGGGGCCTTGATGCTCTCAGCATGCTTGGGGGGCTCCGGCCGCAGGGAGGGGCTGAAGGGCTCACTGCGGATGATGGGTGAGTGGATCTTCTCCTCTTTCACCACCACCAGGGGCTGGGGCTGGACCACTGAGGGTGGGCGTAGCTCCTGGGATGGCACAGGCACAGTGGCCAGTGAGGCAGAAGGGCACCCTCAGCCTCAGCCCACATCTGGCCCCGAGGGCTGTGGCCCAGTCCTGCCCTTTACCTGCTTTTTGGGCTGGACATTTTGCTGGGGTGGAGACTGGTGCGTCAGGCTCTGGAACTGTGGCATCTGGGGGGAATGTATCATAAGCGGGGAGGGGGCCTCACGGAGGTGACCTAGGAGAGGTGACAGAAAGTGTGTCAGGGGTCATCTGGACTTGGAAAGAATTACAATGAAAGCACGGACTGAAAGCAGAACCAACAAGTGCTCCAGCCAAGCCTGAGGATAAGGATGCACACAATCATGCACACAATCAACCCCCAGCCTGCAGGACCCATTCAGTCCTACCCCAAACTGCGTGTACACAGGGCTTTCTAGAGCCCTGTGGTGTCAGTCCCGGTGCTGGATCCTTCTGTGCACCATAGGCATTTGGGAAACTCAGAGAAACACATATCCTGGTTTGCTGGGTTTCACACAGGGCCTGGGTACCAGTACTTTTTTTTTTTTTTTTCCGAGATAGGGTCTCACGATGTAGTCCAGACTGGTCCTGAACTCACAATGTAGCCAAGACTGGACTTGAACTCTTAGCGATCCTCCTGCCTCAGTCTCCAGAGTGCTGGGATTACAGGTGTGCACCACCACACCCAGCACCAGTACTTTTTAAAAAAACTTTTCAGATAGTTCTAAATTGTGCTCTGGATTAGATAAAAGGGACACCAATACACCTGGATAGCTCAGCCCAGGATCGTCCCTTATCTCTATGCAGCTTGTTCCACATCCACATGGATGGACTCTGAGGATCTGAGGTCTAGTCACTAGCAGTTAAGGTGTTAGTCACTAGCAGTTAGGGTGAGGATCTTCAGGCCTCCATTTCCTCCGTCTGTCCACCATGCAAAATGACAAAGGCTGGGACTGGTTTTCACCTGGACAGAACAGCTAAAACAGTTTCTGGGGGGCAGCCATCTGCATCCAGCGAAGGGCTCCAAGACTTAGTGCCCAGTACATGTCAGAGGAGTTCCATAGCCCCACTGCTGGCTGACTCCTCCAGTGAGGAAACAGCCACAGGTCACAGGGAGCCAGTGTCTCACTGAAAGTCACAGGGCACCTAGAGGAGGTGAGTCCCACCCATTTGAATATATAGATACCCTCTTCCTCAATTCCTGTTGGAAGAGGCCTTGCTGCCTGTACAGCTCAGGATAAACCACAGTGTTCATAAAAGAAAGTGCATCTCATACCTTTTGCTTCCAGCCCTGCCTCCTGCCTCACCCTGAGCAATCTTACCTGGTTCCATATGCTAGCTCTTCCACTGACCTCCTCCAGGTCCTGCTTCCAAGCCCCTGTCTGCTGTCACAGGCCCCCATGCCTTAGGTACCTATTCTGATGAGTCTGTGCCAAACCATGGTATCCCAGGTGTAGCAGACCCTCCAGGCCCCCTCCAGAGCCAGGACTCACTCCTAACCCCAGAAAGAAGACATCATAGCCTCTTGCTGCCACCTACATGGAGGTGAAATTAGCCCTGTTCTTGCAGTCCCACAACCCTATGGGGCTGGTTTTACTTGCCTTGACATTTTCTCCTACTCCAGCCTGTCAGGACTCCTCTGGATACTGCCATCCTGCTCCACTAGCCCTAGTTCCAGCTTACCAACAATCCATAGGTAATTGACATGACCATATGACAGCATCCATCCTGGGCCACACCCTCAGGAATACCTGCTGAGACTGACCTGAGCAACAGGTAGGTCTCAGGCCTATATTTACTTTTTTTTTTTTCTTTTTTTGGTTTTTTTCTGGTACCAGGAATCAAACTCATGACCTTGCGCTTGCCACGCAGGCGCTGTGCCGCTGAGCTAAATCCCCAGCCCCTTATTTTTGTTTTTTTGAGACAGGGTTTCAGTATGTAGTTAGTTCAGGCTGGCCTTGAACTCAGGATGGCTCTGAACTTGGAATCTTCCTGTCTTAGCCTCCTAAGTGCTAGGATTACACTGGTGTGTACCACCACGCCAGGCTTTCAGGCTTGTGGTTAAAGAAAGTGCCCACTGTTGGTGGCTGCACAAGGGGAGCCTAGCAGTTCAGAGGTGGTGTCAGAAGGCTGGCTGGGCACTTTATAATGCCTGCTGAGCTTCTGTGGGACTCAAATGACCTATCTTTTGGCACAAAGCCCCTAGTTGGGTTCCAACACACGTGAGTTCTTATGTGCTCTCCTAGGTTTCAGGAGATTGGATGCAGGCCTGGGAGTTCACAGCAGAGATGGCCACAGGTCCTGACCTGGGCTGCCCTGAGTGCCAGCTCTTCTGTCACCTGTCAAATTTCCTGCCTCCAGTATAAGTTTGGCATACTGGCATGCTCTGGAGTGACAACAGCACAGCTGTATGGTAGCCAGCACCAGTTTTTCCCAGAAGGACAGCCAGATGCTCTCAGCTCAGGGCACGAAGCAATCCATTTGGCACCTGACAGCTTTCACTGGGCTCAAAAGCAGTGAGAGTCTTTGGTGCACCCCTAGGGCAGACTGTAGTCTGTGCCAGAGTCCAGGAAATCTTGCCCTGACCATTAAATGTAATCATGTCACAAAGCATTGGTTGGAATATTTTCTAGCTGGGGCTGGCCAGGACATTTTGGTTTCAGACACAAAAAATCAAGTGCTCAGGAAAAGACAAAAGGGTATGTAGCCCATGACCGGGAAAGGGCGGCCTGGACCAGGCTAGAGACCTGCATAGTTTCTGGGGAGGCCCCAAGTGGCTTTTCAGCTTCAGGCCCAGTGTTCCCAGCATGCCCTTCACACTGCCAGGTAACAGTCCCTATGGTCCAGGCCTGGACCTCATTCCCAACCTGTTTACTAAATTAGTGCTTATACAGTGGTATCCTAGTATATTATGGTCACCACCTCCAGATAGTTTCCCACCTAATCAATCTGGTAGGAAAAGCAGTATACCGCAGTGCTCTGGGCACCTTTCGCTTACGAGAGAGACTTGATAAACTCACTGCAGGGTGTTTAATGCTCCCTGGGTGCCGCCCCTCTCTCCAGTTACCCAGAGCCTTTGGGGCTCAGCTTTCAGACAACCACAGAACAAACTAACCCTTCTGGTTTTTCAAGGACAAAACTGCAGGCCCAGGACCAGCCTCCCTCGCAGAACCCAGGGCCAGGAGCCACTTACCTGCCGAATAAGGATCTGACTTGTGGTGCCGGGGTGAAGGGTGATGCTGGATGACCTGCTGAGGCTTGGCGGGCTGAGGTGGGGGCGGCTGCTGGCCTGGGGGCGGATGTGGGGGCTGCTGGCCTGGTGGTGGTGGGGGCTGCTGGATGTGTGTGGAGAACTGCATGGGTTGCAAGTGCACGGGCCGTGGTGGGGGCTGGTGCTGCTGCTGCGGTGGCGGCTGGGGCGGGGGGGGGGGGGGGGGGGGTGGCTGCTGCTGTAGTTGCTGCTGCACAGAGGGGTGGGGTGGAGGTGGCAAGGGGGGTGGAGGCTGGGACTGCACCTTCACGGAAGGGAGTAGTGGTGTGGGGGGCTGCACCTTCTGCAGCTGCTGCAGATACAGCTGCATCTGCATGGAGGTGAGGGGTGGGGCAGGTGGCTCTTCATCCTCCAGCAACACCTGGGGGGGTTGAGCCATGGGGGGCTGAGGGAGCAGGGGTGGCTGGGCCAGGGCGGGGGATACAGCAGGGGGCCGGGCAGGTTTGGGGGGCAAGGCAGCGGCTCGGTTGCTGGGCCGAGATGGCTGCTGGGGCAGCGCATTGTGCAAAGCTGAAAGGACACAGAAGGGTGGCAGTGAGGGCTGAGTGTCCTGTGACCCTGCCTTAGCCTTTCTGTTCTACCCTGACCTCATCCGGACTCTGGTGACCACCTCCTGCCCTCTGTCCCAACTAGCAACCTCTCCGCACATTCCATGAATTTCCACAAACCCCAGAATAAAGGTAGCTTCTAGAGAGAGGTCTGCAGGAACAGGCTCTGCACCTGTTCGCCTGCTCGGTGCCTTCAACCCTTCTTCTTTCCTGTTCTCAGTGCATGCCTCAGCCACTAACTTCAAGACCTTCACCAGCCCATCAGGAGGGTGGTGGCCTTGGCCTGTATCCCCCAATACACACTGTCCAAGATCCACAGGATTAACTCTGTCAGGATGAACGTGACCTCCGAGTCCCACAAGGAGTTGCAGGGGGGTCCATCTTTTTGCATCTAAGACAACACCCGGCCCTGCAGAACTAAACCAGCATCTTCTGCATAACAGCACTAGCTAACTCCATGCCAGGCATGTCCCAGAGTATCTCTTTAAATTTCAAAGATGGTCTTCAGAAACTGCTGACCACAACAAACAAGGCTAAGTACTCAAGAGTACGCAGTCCCAGTATGGCAGAACCAAGGCAAAGAAGGGGTCACAGCCATTCTCACCTGGAGGAGAGACCACGGTGTGCTGGTTGAGATGGGGCGGAGTGCTGTGCTCAGGTGGCTGGGGCAAGTGAGGGGGCAGCTCAGGCTGCTGCAGGTGCAGTATGGGCTGGGTGAAGTGGCCGATGGGATCAAAGACGCTGCCTGGGAGCTGAGGCTCTAGGACTGGCACCTGGGCAGTGATGAAGGGCGGAGGCGAGGACTTCAGCGCTGGGGCTGCTTGTTGCGGCATGGAGGGTGGGGGCGGTGGGGGTGGGGGCTGCTGCTGTTGTTGCTGCTGTTGCTGCTGCTGTTGCTGCTGCTGAGGTGGGGGTGCTGGAGGCTGCTGGGGAGGCGGGGGTGGCTGTTGGGGCACAGGAGCTGGGGCTGGCTGCATCTGCTGATGGTGGTGGTGATGGTGCTGCAGGCAGACAGAAGACACAAACTGGTATCACGCAGGCAGAACAGTCCCCAGGCCAGACCCAGGCTGTGCCTGGGGTTCACTGGGCTGAGTGGCTAGCTCTCACCTAAGAAGGGGACATCCTTGAGCCACGTACCTTCTTCTGATCCCTCCCAGGATGTCCCTTCTTTTTTGACTTTGGAGCCATCTCTGCAGAGAAAAGAGAAGGTAGTGAGGCTCTGGGGAAGAATATTATAAGATAGCCTTGAATGCAGATGAAGAAAAAAAAAAAAAGGGCACAAAGTATTCAAGACAAAGCCCAGTGACACTGAGTGTCTGGGTTGGGTCTGGGAGAAGTCAGTTATCATGGGACAGGGAAAGATGTGTCACCTACCCATTGGTCTGCTTTTCCTAGTGGGGGCCATGCCTGAAAAAAATCAAACTACCCCCGCAACTGCAAGCTTCAGCCCACTGGCACCATAAAAGGCTCCCCCACTCCCCCACCCCCGGTCTACTGGAAGCTGAGCTCTGGTGACCATGCCCAATGCCACACCGTTTGTGATCAGGCTTTGGGAGAATGAGGAGCACCTGCATGCTCTGGATCCCACCTGCTACTTTGGAACCACCACCTGGATGTTGGAAATGGTCCCATTCACCGTACTTGTGCAAACGTGAGGCTCTGAGAAGCTAAGGGACTTGTTCAGGATTGCAGCTACCACACAGCAGGGTGAGGACCCCAAGACCACACATGTGGCTCTCTGCAGATCAATGCTTTCTACTTTGCCAGGGTAAGGAGAGTGGCCCAGGCTGAGGCCAAGAGCGCCAAAAGTGTGGTCACAGGAGATCAGCCTGACCCCAGAGCCATGGGATGTGTGAGGGTAGTGCTGGCAAGTGGGAATGCAGAGGGCCCCTGTCTGAGGGCATCTAGGGAGGGAAAGAAGTACAATGGCCTCACCAGAATGACCAGGGGCAAGCGCTCAATGCCATGGCTATCAAAGGGGGACAGCAGCTTGCTTCCACTTCCTCAGGCAAGACAGACCTCAGAGAAAGCCATGTTCTGGGACACAATAAACGTGCTGCAGTGAAGGGAGTTATGTGCCCTGGTACCTCAAGGACTGATGGCTGGCACTGCAGCTGTGTAGACGTGTCCAGGTGGGCCTGCCTCCTTAGGTGTGTTCAAGAGCCTGCGCAGCCACTTCTGCCCACATGCCAGAGGTTTACTCTAAGAAATTGGCAGCTGGATTCCCCCCTCAATAAACACAGACAGTGTGCAAGTCCCAAGAGGATCCCTGTTGGTTCCCCTGACTGCCGTGTTATATGGTTGCCAACTGCCAGCTGGGAGGTCAAAACCACTAGGTGGAAGGTCAGAGCCACGAAATGACACCTTTCAGATTCCTGTCACTGCGAGGCACCTTCTGGCTTTGCCTGGTTTTCCCTGAACTTGTCGTGAAGACACCAACTCTTGCTGCTGACACATCTTGCGTGCTGACACGTCTTGCCAAGATCAAAGCTATCACTCTGCTCAGAGGTGCTTCGAGGGGCATGTTAAGCCTCTGTGAGATGCATGGCCCCTGAGGTGTAGCATGCCACCAAGGAGAAGGGACCTTGTGCCAGCCAAGAGCTCACCACTCCATCCATGCAAGAAACAAGACACAGACATACACCTCAGCAGCTAGAGATACGGGCCCTCACACAAAGGGCCAAGGGCAGTAAGTGAGGACATCTAGGATATGGGACTCAAAGACTAGACCCCAAACCTAGACGCTAGAATGAGGGCCTCAGACACCATCAGGTCAGAGGAAAATCCTGAACAGAGGGACGCTCTTGTGAGTGAGACATAAAAAAGGAGTCTGGCCAGACTGGCAGGATTAGTGCGAAAGGGCACCTGGTGCTGTCACGGAGTGGGAAAGAGCACTAGCTGGAGAGGCTGGGAGCCCCAGCGCCTCAGCAGCACAGGGTCCGACTCAAAGTAGGAGGTACAAACAGGCAGGGCTTCTCGAGGATGGGCTCCTCTGCCATACCAGTCCAGCGCAAGGAGGCAGTGGCTGCTCAAATGGTGGGTGCATTTTTAGGGCAAGTCATGCATGGAGAAGGGAAGCTAGGGGAGGTCAGGGCATCATGTGAATCTGACCTGGAGAAGCCTCAGGGATGAGCCCAGAAAATGGAGCAGTGGTGGAAGGGGCTGGGATGACTTGTTTAGTAATTCTGAATGAAGCACTGTTTTTCCGTTTACAAAACCAGATCCCTGCTCTCTGCCCGCAGGCTGGGAACAGAGACCCATACGAGCAGGCTAGAGACCAAGAACAGCGGCCTGTAGGTATTCCAGGGAGCATGTCTTAGCTGCTTTGGAAATGTCACAGTAATGTCCTGAGGTTCTTCTCCAGAGCGCAGGAGAAGTGGGAAGCACAGGCAGATACCCAGGCCCAAGTGAGACTAGGGTGAGTTTTGGGGCAGCTCCTCTGACTCCGCTGGCGTGGGCCTTGTGTTGGAATTCGCAGGAAGAAGACAAGACAGGAAGTGTGCACAGCTTCACGACACACCAGCCCCAGACACCCCACATAAAACTCTCTAGAAAGGGTTACATGGAGATGGCCTCAAGTACTGTGTGATCTTTATTCCATGACAATCTTCAACTCAACACAAATTTCATCTTTACAGAGGATGATAATTGTACAAAGAAATAAAACGTTTTGGTAAAATCTGATTAAAACACTGATTTCTCCCACCCCCCACCCTGTCCCACTCCAGCCAAGGAAACAGAAAGGAGGGGCAGGGCAGGGCAGGGCAGGGCAGGGCAGTGTGGAGCAGGGGAGAGGACAGGAGAAGAGCCCTCTACTGTCCTGGGCGGCTCCCCCACTTCTCTTACACAGCTCCTCCATGGGACCCACAGCCAGCAGGTGCACTGAGCGCTCAGCTGGCACCTCATTTGTTGCTCAGGAACTGCCAACAAGGAAGAGTGGGTGGGCACTGTCCTTTCTGGCTGTGTTTTCCCTGGGCATCAAGCATGAGTGACAGCGTTAAGTCTAAAGAGCTTTGAAGTTCAAAGGGCCCTGAGTATTCTAGCCAGACAGAAACCCCAAGGGCAAGAAGGGATCCTTGGACAGCAAAGGTGAGAATCCTGAAGGACAGCTGGCCTGTGGCTATGGCCTGAGTGCACAGGTGTGTAGGGAGGGACAGGGCAGCATGTGGCTGAGACTGAGACACCATGGGAATCCAGGCTGCCACTTGGTCCAAGACGGCAGAATCTTCCCAGAAAGATAATGCCAGCAGCTTCCCAACTGTCCTGTGGGAATCTCTGGGCATGAAACACCCCCATCACATCCAAGTTCACTGGGAACACATCAGGCACAGGCCAAAGGGCAGCTCAAAATAGTCTGTTTGGCAAACAGAGCTGACTGGAAGCCGGACACCGAGAGAGGACTGGGAACAGCCTAGGAACTCTCAAACATCACTACAGGACCCAGGGAAGTTCTAGGGAGGCTGGGGCTATACTCTGTGCCCAATGAAGGTCTGGGGCAATGAGCAGCCTAGAGCACTGAGGAGCCTGTGATGGGGGTCAACACCCATGGCCTGCCCATGGGTGGCATCTCCCAAACCTGCTGCCAGCTCCAGAAGGTGGGCTCCAACATGCTAGATGGCTGCACAAACTATACTTTAAAAGAGAAGGGGGGGGGGCTCTGTAAAATCAGATACAGTTCCTTAGGCATCAGGCAATTTTCTGTTGAGATGCTGGACTCATGACCAAAAAAGGGCTGATATTTATTTTTAGAGCATAAAAGCCTATTTGGTGCCTCTGGAAGGGCTTGGATGATGTGGCCACCCTTGCTTGCCTCAGCCCCAGTGGCTGCTGTCATTCTAGGGGACTGATGAGCAGGAGGATGCTCATGCTGGAAACATCCTGCTGAGATGTGTGATAGAGGCTGTGGCTCTTACCCACCACCTAGATCCTGGCCGCAGTGGGTGGAGCTGATGATCTAAGTGCCCCACATGAACAGCCCTAAAGGTACTTTCCCTAAGTGACTTGAGAAGAGGCCAAAGAAGTAGGAAAATGCCCACTAGAACTGAAGCTTTCAGAAATGCATAGGAACAATGGGGATGGAAGTAGGGCTTCAGAAGGCTATAGGTCAGTGGTGGCTGGTGGTAACCTCCTGCTGACCAATCTAGCCAGGACGGCCCAGTGGCCCTCCCCTCACAGCCCCCACTCCTCAGGTCAGAACATCTTCCTTAGGCTGAATGTGATCTTTCCTGGGCTAAAGTTACTGCAACATCTCGGGGAATCCAGTCTGGAGCCTCAGAAAGAGGGTGGGGACGAAGAGAGGAAACACACTGTGACCAGGCTTCGCTCAGAGAGCAGCACCATATGTATGCATGTGTGGGGGGATTGTCATCACCCTCCAGGAGATGCCACCACCCAGAGGACCCAGACAACCAGGGAAGCTGGGTGGGACAGCCAGGCAGTCTTTGCACAGGAAGGCCTGGGCAGCCGGCCAGGCAGGCAGCCTTCCCGAAGGCGGGACTAGGCGTGTGCTGCTGGACATGACTAATCCACCCCGGGGACAGGCCCAGGGCTCTGAGGAATTCCATAACTTGATGGAGTCCTGTCCCTTTCACAGAAGAAAATGGACTTAAGCTATATAGCTTGCTGGGAAGGAATCTGGAACTGAAGACGTTTTATTAAGAGTCCGTGTCCAATGATTAGGCAGGACCTACATAGAGGGAGAGAGAAACCAGTGTGAGAGAAATGGTGTGGAATGTACCATTCAAGTCACAAGAACAGAAGAACTGCAGATTGAGCCAGGCTCCTATGCTGGAGACCAGGAGTGCTGCCCCTGCCCGGCTTGCTTCGGGTGGGGACAGACCCACCTTCCCTTTAGCCAGGCCACTGATTCAGCGTGTGTGGAGTCTCCAAAACCACTGGCGCCTGTTCCAGCTTTTAGACAGAACTACTTCCACTAATGAGTTCCATATGTGCTCTGCCTTGAGTGGATGTTCGCGTTTACCGCTCCTTTTCAAGGTGAGAGGTGCTTCTGCCTTATCCCATTGGCCAGGTGTGTTAAGCCCAGCAAGCACCTGCTGATTCTAGGTGGGGAGGTGATCCCACCCCCTCCACATAGTGTGGCTGGGGAAAAGCCTCCACAAACAGGATGCTAGAATACAGAACCTCCAGCGGAGGGAGGCAAAGAACAGAGCCACATCTCTGCACTGCTCCAGATCCCCAAAACAAAAACCACAAACTATAAAGGAGGAAACCATGATCCATAAATTGCTGAGGAAGGGAAAACAGGGTAGAAAAACTACACACACACACCCTCCCTCCGTTCCCTCCCTCCCTCCCTGTCTCTCTCCACCCCCTCCAAAACAAAAAACCTCAAACCAACAAACAAAACACAAACCAAAAAGTCTCATCTTTCTCTTCCTTTTTCAGGGCATCCAATATGGCTTCTGGACCAGGAAGGGGTGGGGCTAGTTCCCACCCACACGGCAGAGCCTCTGCTATACTCAGGGATGCAAAGACTCCCTGATTTCTGGCCCCCACCAATGTCTGGGAAAAACCCGCCCACTACAGCTTCTCACTATTCCACATTCCACAGGCTTGGCCTTGCTCTATGAAGCCCTGAAATCTCTAGCTGAAACTCCTGTGTGTGTGGGAGGAGGGGGTAGGGGTAACATCTTGCTATGCAGACCCTTACCCTTCATGGGACTCAGTCCTTCCCAAGGGCAAAGGCCACACCCTGGGAGCAGGCATGTCTTGGTCTGAGAGACGTGACTGGAGAGTCCCCTCAAAGGCCCCAGGGGCCAGGAAGCTGAGGCTAGTTGTGTGGTAAGAGGATCCCATGGCCTCTGTCTGCACTTCCCAGCTCAAATCTTTCCAAAACATCAAGCATTCCTTTTTCCCCTGGAGCTACTAAGAAACACCCACATGCTCCCATCCTGGGAAAAGGAAATCAGGAGACTAAAATAGCTGACCTGCATTCCTGCTGCGACTGCATGACCAGGCCAGAGTCAAATCTCCACATCTCACTGAATCCCTGTCATAGTCCAGGAAGCCCAGGGGGTAAGGGGGGCCCTGAAAGGAGCATGAGCTATATAGCCAGCCCTGCCCAAAGAGACCTGCAGGTGGCATTTGGAAGAGCCAGAGGTCATGAATGTAATGAGTACCGTAGGACAGAGTCCTAGATATACCTTCCCCCAATGCCATGTAGACTCAACCATAGCACTGGTGACAGCTGGGCCACAGCCCATTTGGACAGCAGTGTAGGGGAGAACCAAGACATCCTCCTCCTCCAGCCTGCCCACTCCAGGTCTATAGATGCTCCTTAGTCCTGTCTGCCCTGACAGTGACACCAACACCTCAAGCAGCTCTGGACTTCACCTGGAATTGAGACTCAATGAAAGACCACACAGCCCAAGTAATAACTGGGATCAGAGGAAGCAGTGGATTGGCCATCAGCACTGTGTGGTGCTGGGTAGGGCATAGGACTACATGGTGGCTGAGACCCAGCTTGGAAATTAGCCCCACCCCCATGTCTGAGCACAGCCTCCCTAAATTGCAACCCAGTCCCGGAGGTCTGGCCCTGTGCCTTGACTGGCCTGTCGCATCCCTGCCATGGATAGCTGCCAGAGGTGGTGCTCTGTGCACTACCTCACCACCCTCAGTTTAGTGCCTCTCTTCAGTTTCTTTTGATGATTCATGTCCTGGGGCCATGTCAGCAGAACTGACCCCTAGTACAAGATACAAAAATAGGCCCTTTCAGGAATTTCGGCCCCAATCCAAATGGAAACATAAGAAGGAGGGCAACAAAAGCCTCGAAAGACCAAAGGGAAATACCTTCAATGCCCCCCTATTCTTTTCTACACCCCGCCTCCCGCAACTGCCTGTAACTGGCCACAGAAATCGGGGCTGTCTGGCTTCCCAGACTCTGGAGGGCCGCTGCCAGGAGCTGCCCACCACCAGGAGAGTGCAGTGCCACATGTGGGCCTGACGTGGGATCTGTTGCACAAACTGCTCACAGTGGGCCCCTCCTAAGAAGTGCCCAGCCAGCTCACGATAGAGCTCACCAGCACACACAGAAAGCAAAGGGAAAGCTAGCAGTCCATTGGCAGCCCTCTGGTCTGCATGTCAAAAGCAAAACCCAAGGTGGGAGGGAGGGTGCATGAGAAGAGCCACAGCCCAGCCCTAGGTAGCCGAGTGAGTGGTCAGAGCGGGACTGCTGGAGCCTGAGAGCCTGTGAGCAGGCAGCTCTAAGACCGTAAATCTCACTCTCCTTCTCGCCAGGATAGCTGTTCCCAGGACTCTCAGATTACTCATTGCACAATCTTTCCACTTTCTTTAAAGGGAGAAGGAAGAAAAACTAAAACCAAAAAACCACACACACACACGTGGGGAAAAAATAAATCAAGGTGGGGGAAAAAACCCTCAGTAGCAGGAGTGAACCGCTGCTGGAAATGCTGCCATGGCGGCCTCAGCAGTAGGAGGGGTTCAGGGTGCTCACTTGGGAGCTCACAGGGTTCCTGCTAAAAACACATATGCTGCCCTAGAAGAGGGCTGTGGGGACCAGCGTCAAAGGCCACTCATGAACTCATAGTCAGGACATGATGGTCAGAACCCCCAACCTGCAAGCCAAGTTGTTTTAAAGACCAGACAACCTGCCAGTTTCAATCTTTGGCCACTAGGGCAGCAAATCCCTAAGAAACAGCAAAACTCACTGGCCAGCAGGAATGCTAATGTGGCCCAAGAATATGGCCATTCACGCAGCTGGGCAGCTCCAGTTCAAAGTGGCCCAGAGCCAACCCTTCCGACCAGTACCCTCTGATGCAGAGCCCCTTCTGGAATGCAGTGGCCCCTCCTGGATGGGATAAAAAAGCAAGGCGGGGAGAAAGAATATTGGTTAAAAAAAAAAACAAAAAAAAAAGCAAGGTGGGGTATGCTGGTTAGAAAGGAACAGGGTGAAGGATGGTGTCAGTTTCTACAGTGCTGAAGAAATGTAGAACAAACATGACTTAATAGATTTCATCTCATTTGGGCCCATTAAAAATGAGGGAGGCACTGACATCCTGGAGAAGCCCAAAGCCTATCTCGAAGACCAGAAATACTTGTTTCAATCCTTGTTTCCCTGGGCAGAGAGGCAGGCTGAGCCCACCCCATTGGTTTGCATACCTCAGAGCAACACGGTTCTTCCTAGCTGCTACAAGGGACCCTTGACCTTCTCTGGAATGACCAGGTCATTATTTGCATGCATATACAGAATTAGAATTTTTTTCCCACTTACAATAAAATTCCCAAGGTGGGATAGGTCCATGGAAAAACATGCTAAGAACTTTTTGCCCAAAACACTTGCTTGTCACTATGGATCTCCACATCCCAGCGGCAGAGTGCACCTGAGACACTAGGGCTGCTTCCTGGATGGCCTGTAGCTGATATGTTCAGTGCATGGAGCCTGACATCACTCATATAAGCCATGTGCCTGGCATCCCAGGTACACTGGCTTCTTTTCTATCCACTCCTTTCGTCAGTCTGAGCACCTGCTCCCCTGAAAAAACAGCATGCCCCTCCCAATCCTGCTCCCAGAATGGTCACCTGTCCCTACCTGTTATGGCTTGTGTCTGGATGTTCCCCCAAAGACACATGCAGTCAGGGGGTGGGCTTTTAGAGTTTATGATTGATCCATGGTCCAATGCGGGGATTATGGGTGAGTGCTACCCACTCCCTGGGGACAGTTTGCATACAATGTAAGGGAGGGAAAGAGGCTGCTTACTGCCACTCTTCCCTTTTGCTCTTGTTGCTTCTGCTGTCCAGCCACCATGGACTGTTGCCCTCTGCCATGTGCCACCCGCCCTTGGAGCCAGCCAAGTATGGACTCAAACCTCCACAAAGTGTAAGCTAAATTAACCTTTCCTTCCTTAATTGTGGGAGTCAGGTATTTTGTCTCAGCAACAAGAGAAAAGTAACCAAGACACCACCTCTGTGAAGCTGCTGCTTAGATGGGCTTTGGCAATGCACTCATGCAAGTCCACAGAGCAAGACAAGAACAGACTATTAGAAGTGCAGGACACACATGCCCAGATGCATGCAGAGTTAGAGCAGAGACAGGAGCAGCCAACACAGCAGTGAGCACACTCTAATCTAAGGAGAAGCAGGCAGTGCCCAGAGCCTGGGTGATGGCAGGACCATGAGCAGACTGCATGTGTGGGCTGCCAGTACATGCGGTTCCAGCCTCAAGTCTGGCCAAACACCTCCCCTGGGACAGTAGAGTGGGTGGGATTTGCACCAAGGTTAATAGCACCACCAGGGGCCGCAACACCCACAGTTCTCAGGGCCCAGCCCTCTGCCCTCCCCCAACTCAGAGCTCTGTGGCTCAATGACAGCATAAGGGCCACAAGGGAAGAGTGGACCATTGTCAAACGGAATACATACAGGGCCACTCAACTTGCTCCCAGGGAGAAAGCTGACATGGTGAATGGACAGACAAAAGAGCCCAGCAGGTTCTCATAACCAATGACCACTGGCTCTGGGCTCTTAAACAGCCTGGGCAAAGAACTGGGCTGGTGCCCAGGACGAGTTGGACAAGATGCTTAAACAGGAGTCACCTAACCTGTTTCAGAGTCTTCACTGTCAGAGGAGCTGGACTCGCTGGTGCTCTCTGACTCCGAGGATGAGAAACCTTTCATCTTGGAGGAGCCAGCGATCACATCAACTTTCTCGGCTGCAATCAAGGTAAGAGGAACTATGTCAGATAGGACCCAAACCCAAGAAGCTGCTGTTAGCCACAGTGCACCCAAACGCCACCAAGGAAGAACCAGTGGGAAACCTGTGCCCCATGGGCCTAAGGGCTGCTCCCGTCAGCAGCTGCCACTGTCCCAGGACCCACACCACCCCATGCTTCCCAACAGCAGCATACTGCACACTAGCCAAAACATGGAATTTCAAGGCCCTGCCAGTCTCTCAGAACACCCTTTGGAGGGTTTCTCAAGGACAGAGTACACCAACCAGAGGAGTTAATTTCCAGTGGCATGAAGTACTGCCTGCCTTGGGCCTGGCTTCCTTTAGCTACCTTTCTGGCTGAGGGTGAAGGTGACCTGTAGGGGACACGGTGCATGGAAACAAAACTTAGGTTTCCCAGTACTCATACAGAGCACTTTAAAAAAAGGGACTGAGGACCTCAGAAGCCAGTCTGGATTGGAGACAAAGACTGTATTAAAAACTACTCTGACACAGGCCCCCACTCCTATAATCCTGAGAGTAAAGCAGTGTGCCAAGGAGAGACCAACAACCAGAGAGGGCAACATCACTGCTGCTGCAGGACAGGGGCTACCTGCCGGACACAGGCTGACCTAGTGTCAGTGCACAGGCCCCTGCACACTGCTGCACTTTTACTCTTTCCCCCACCCCAGACCTCAGAGAGACAGGGGGTGGTTCAGAGACTGAGTGGCAGGCAGCCAGGGATGGAATCAGCTGCTGCTTAGTGAGGCTCAATACAGAGGTGCGAGTTGGACCTAGCCAGCCACCTGCCAGAGGTCTAGAAAGGCATGGACAGTTGGGGATCGTGTGGTATCTAGGTTTGCAGGCTTTGTATGTCAAGAACATGCTTTTGGTAAGGACAAGGCTATGTTAGAAAGGTAAAATTAGATAAGGGTGCTGCAGAAAGGAGCCCCACACCCAGAGGGCCCAAGTGCACCTTGAGGTTTTCTTTTCTTCCGCAAACAGGAGGTGACGTAGCGCTCCAACTCACGCAACGTGGATGGCTTCAGGGTCTCAAAGTCAATCTCTATCTCATCTGGGTTGGAGTTCTTGAGTGAGGGCTCCCGCGACTGGATGATGTGCACCACTCGTCCCAGCTTCTCACCAGGGAGCTTGTTGATGTCCAAGCTGAGCTGCCGCTTCTCCTCATATGACATGGGCTTGCATTTGTCCTCTTCTTCTGACTCATACGTGGGAGGAGGTTTGCTCTTCATTGGTGCTGGCTCCTTCTTGCTATGAAGGGACAATGTAGACACCATCAAGAACGGGTCCCCTGAAGAAGCTGGGCACTCATTCCTCCATATGTATGTGTAGGAGCTTCCCATAACCCACCCATCTGGTCTTCAGAACAAAGAGGCCTTGGGCGTAACTCACTCCCTGGGAGCACAAATTGGAAACCAACCAAAAACGGGCAGTGTGAGCTAGGGCTCTATTGCAGCTGCCCTCTTGCTTCTGCACTATCCTCTCCTCTCCCAAACACTGTGAGCTAAAACAGTGTTGGCACCCATCTGCAATCCCAGCATTCTGGGAGGCTGAGGCAGGAGGATCACCAGTTCAAGGCCAGCCTGGGCAACATAAGGAGATCCTGTCTCAACATGAAACACGGGTTGAGAATACAGCTCGGTGCGATGGCTGTAGCTTTAATCACTAGTACTGCACAGAAAGGAAGGCTCATCCCAGAGAGAGGATGGAGAGAGCAGCTAAGTGCTACATGTGAGTGACGACCAGCCTCCCTCCCCACAGTGGGCGCACTGGGATGGAGTCCCCACATGAGGAAGCACGGACCTCACGTTACTGTTGCTGTTGTTTTTCTTTGTCTTTTTGGGAGGAAGTTCCTTGGCTTTACTTTTCTTATTCTCCTCCACTTCCTCTTTCTTTTTGTGCTTTTCCTTTTTCTTTTCCTTCTTGTCTTTTTCCTTTTTCTTTGGTTTGTTCTGCTGGGGCTGCGAGAGGGCTGCAAGCTGCTCGTGCACGGCTTTGAGCTGAGGAGCAGACAGGCAAGATACATACCCAGGCTGACACCTTCTATCACCCAAGAGCTGAATGCTGGCTCCGTACTACATGGGGTGGTGCGGAGCTCCAGGTGCCAGGGCATGGGTATGCGCAAGGCAGAGGGAGGGCTGATCTTCAATAATCTGGCACACACATCAGATTCCCAACTTCAAGGATTCCCAGTGTCTGCGTCACCAGAAGAGCTGCCCATGCTGAGGGAGGCTAAGAGCCTGGCCATCCTGGTATGGGTGCTCCTGAGGAGGGTTCCTAAGAGGGCAGCCACGAACAAGGGCATGCTGGGCCCTAAGGACTTAATGAATACCTTGGAGAGAGAGGAGCAAGCAGGCAGCCTCAGGAGAGATAGATACCCTACCTGGCCTCCTCCTTCCAGACATCAGAAGATACATAAGCCTTATTTCTACTTAGAACGCGACCACCCCCACCCTTCAACATATACAGTATAATGTATACGTCTGTCTGTATGATCAAAATGCACACAAAGTGGCAAAAGGGAGAGATGCATGAAGATCAGTGGGAATGAAAAGCCAGGCACATCTCAATACTGGCGAAACCCCTGTCCATGGACGCTGAGAGCTGGAGACATTCACAAAGCCTCACCTGCTCCTGGAGTTCTGCTAGCCGCTGGGCTCGCTCTTCCTCAGAGTCATCAGTGGAGCTGTCACTGTCTGAAGAACTGTCACTACTGCTGTCACTGGATGAGGCTGGGGGCACCACCTTCGTAGGGGGGGGCACCACTGGGGAGGAAACAGCCACCACGGGCTCTTCAGGCTCATCTGGCATCTTGGCGAAGCGCATCTCAAATACATCCTGGGAAGAGAAAGTCAAACCTATAAGGGTCACTGTGGCCTTGTCAGCTGCTAGAACAATGCAAGAGGAAGTAGGTGAGAGGATAAAGGGGTTGTGAGGATGGGGATTTTTGTGCTTTTCCTGCTTTCCTTTTTGTGCTTTTCCTCCACCATCTTGAGTTGGGCCCAGCTCACCACCCAGCATTCCATCACCCCGACCCTACTCCTCTGCCACTGGTTCTGAGCAAGTACCTCTTTGTGCTAGAATGTGGACTAGTGCCCAGACACTCACAGAAGAACCAGCCTTGGAGCCAAGGGTTGGAGGAGACCCTCGGCAGAGGTGCAAGACACTGAAAAGTGGGAGACCCACTGAGATGCCAGGTGGCTAGAGACATGGCCATGACTGAAACACACACACATGTATTACAAAACCTTCCTACTACACCTAGGATCTAATACAGCAGCCCAGTGCACTTTTCAGTTTATCTTTCCTTCTAAGCATAACTGTATATAAACTAGAATCTGTAATATCCCCTCCACAACAGAACTGGTAGCCATATGGGCTGCAGCTGCTACCAAACTTCTTTAATCACTCTTCAAAACAGAGCAGAGTAAAAGGCAAGACCATCAGCAGCTCTGAGTTCACAGCTATGCTGGTGGCTTTGAGCCTACGCCATCCTGGGGGTTCCTGAGAAAACGCCAAGCCTAGAGGCTTCTAGTCATGTTTGTGGTCATGGCTCCTAGACTGTGAGATGAACATTTTCTAAAGGCCCAGAATTTAAGGGCTAGAATAAAGTAAGTGTATCCTTTTCCATGCAAATTTCTAGACAAATCCTACTCTTTGGGGCATGACCTAACTAAGGAGGTCCCAATACCTCTCCAAGAAGCAAGCAAGAGGTAATGGGAAAAGGCAGAAGAAGAACATAAAAAGCCTGAGATGCCACAAGTATCACAACTGCCTTCCAGAACAGAAGATGGGAAAGACAGCACTACTCTCAGAAACATGGTGACCTAACCTTGAGGGCACAGGCTCCTCCATAGCACTCCCTCCTATCATGGCCTCAACTGGCCCCTCCTTAAGGGTGAGGGCCATGTCTAGTCCAGTCTGGTCCCTAGGTCACGGTCTAAGCAGCAGCACTTAGCTCAAAAGGCTATTGTGTGGCACACATCCCGTGGCCATGCCACAGGTGAAAACTCCACATCTGGGCAGGTTCATGCACTCCTAGGCAGAAATTTTTTTGTGGGAAAAGCAGACACTGTGAGGAGTAGGTGGCTCCAAGGTATTCGTAAATGGCAGAAAAAAAAACATACAAAAATGAGGAAGAGAGCACCAGACTACAGTAGAGGAGGCTGTTCTTTCCAGTCCTTTCTTTAATAAAGTAGCTCAAAACAGAACTCTTGAGCACTGACAGGGAACTTGTTTGGATTTCACTGTTTCCATATAGGTTGGAAGGCAAGTAAAGGATGTGGGTATCAGATCTAGGCAGCACAGGCAAAAGCTACATTTTCTTAAGAGAACAGGAGGGAGGCAGGTAACCACTGTATAAATCTGAAGGCACCACTGCCACTAGGTGGCCCTTACAAGAACTGCAGTAAAATTAAAAAGCTGGACTACTTTTAAGGACAAGAAACAGCGCTCAAGGGGCAGTCTTCTTTGTGAGGACAGACAACACCAAATTGGTTTTGCAGTGCCCCGTGCCCAGCTAAAGTCAGAGAAAACAGAGCAAAAAAGACCTAGAAATAAAAACCTTCCAATCTGAGCACGAGTTTGAATATCAAGAGCCAGGTCCACATTAGTAATAAACAGCCCACCTGACTTCAGTCATAGGGAAATAGTGGTAACAGGGTTCAGGTGACCTCTGTGTGGCACAGACTCACAGATCACCACAGGCTTTGCAAGCCCTCACCTCCGCCTTACAACACTTACAGAGTGCTGGGCAAGCAGGTGTGAGGAAGCCCAGAGGCACATACTGAGCACACTTGCACCTCGTGACAGCAGGTGACCCAACCCACAGCCTGTTCAGATCTGTGAACAGAGGCAACCTATGACCCTGGGGAGAAAATGCTGGGAATTTTTATGTTTACTTTCAAACAATTTTAAAAAGTAGGTTATCAAGGTATTAAATATTGACTTTGTTCTCCCAAATCTTTTAACCACTGATCTTACTACCCAAAGACAAGCACTGCTTAAATTTAAGTATATGTCTGCCAGGCATGGTGATGCACGCCTCTAATCCCAGCACTCGGGAGGCTGAGGCAGGAGGATCCTTGCAAGTTTGAGACCAGCCTGGGCTACGAAGTGAGCTCAAGGCCAGCCTGAACTGCATAGCCCAAAATAAATAAATAAATAAATTTAGGTATATTTTATCTTTTAAAATATAAAAGTGAAATAAATTTACACAACCTCTCACATATACAGTTTATTTTTTTTTTGGTACCGGGAATCCAACTCAGGACATACACAGTTTATAGTGTGCACCACCCAGAAGTCCCAACTTGAAGGACTGGGCCCATGAATTCCCCCTATTACAGAATTATGATCACGTGGAACACCTAAATATCCACTATACAGCTAGAAGGCAAACAAAGGCTTTCAAGGGTCTGGTGAAGACAGATCCATAGGTTAGGTAGTTATTCTGGCTCACAACTGTGACAAACTACCAGCAAAGTGTGTTCCCCACCAACTTGAGTCAGGTCTATTGTGGAGAAAAGATCAGCTATGAGTAGTACACATGTTCTTCCAGCCAAGGGTAAAAAAGTGGAGGTGGAGGGTGAGGAGAGGCAGGGGAGGGAACTTTCAGTGATCACCCCCAAAGAAAACCAGCCAGTTTGCTTTGACAGTATGCAAGTAACCCTAACCTAAAACATATGCATTGGCCTGAGCTGAGTGGACTCTCCCAAGGCGATACAGGTATTATCTCAAGGCAAGTGAGAGGTCTGGCCAGTGCTCCCCAATCTTACCTGGAGTTTCCGGGCCATGGCTACTACTTCATGGTCAGGAGGATTATACTTATAGCAGTTGGAGAACATCAATCGGACATCGGCACCAAATTCCTGAGCATCTCGGTACTCACGGGACTCTAGTTTAGACTGGAAAGATGAGACAGAGTTAGCTGTGTCTCCCTATGTTGTTCTTTTTGTTTTGTTTTTGAGACAGGGTCTCACTGTGTAGTGCATGCTAGCCTTGAACTCGCAGTGATCCTGCTGCCTCAGCCTCCCGGGATTACAGGTATGCGCCACCACGCCCAGCTCTGCCTGGGTTTTGGGGTCATCAGTAGTATTGGTGAGGGCTACCTGTAGGGTGCAGGCTGGGTTTGGGATGGAGGTGCGCTTAGGCCATGACCTCATTTATCATCATCATGTGGACAAGTAGGTTTTTAATATTAAGGCTTGAGCCTGTGAACTCAATGTCCTGTTAGCAGCACATTTTAGCCTCTGGGTCACTGTAACTGCCTAAATTTAGGGCAAGAGGACACAGAATCCCAAGGCAGGGCTTAAACCAGAACTGAAGAGAAGATGAAGGCTAGAATGGGTCCAGCCTTGATTCTGCATATTTTCTTGGAGACATGGAACAGGACACTGGTCAGGGGAACACAGCACCATCTCCTGCTTTGACTGCCCCATTGGTTGGGCTTCCTTACTCAACTCCCAGAAGGAGAAAAATGCAAAAAGTCTTAAAAAGCCTTTGAAACACTTCGCTGAAAATGCCAGCCAGCTCCATCACACAGAACCTAGCTACTTCTTATAGCATTTAGCAGATACAAGATGCTTGGGACCCTAGGCCCTCAGGGCCACAGAGACTATGTCTTGCCTCTCCTCAGACAAGGGGAAGAGGGCAGCACTGCTGCTTGCAACGGAAATGGGCAAGAGCATTGTCAGGATGCATATTCCCAAAACAGCCAGCAGGGGGCGCTAGGTTTCTCTGGGCTGGTGGAGAAATTTTACACATCTCCACAACTCAAGGGACTCTTCACTAGTCTAGGAAGAAACCTGGGGAGAGAGGTCCTGAGGGTCAGACAAGCCTCTGCCCACTCCTCCCCCCAGGGGGTATGCACGGTCACCTTGATTGTGCTCATGTCCATAGGGTGCTTGATGATGTCACAGTAGTCGTGTAAGCCTAATGCCTCCACATCCACGGGTTTATAGAAAGGCCAAGCATAGGCGGCGTGCTTCTTGGCGAACATCTCCTTAAGAATGCCACTGCAGCACTTGAGCTGTTCTGAGACCTTGCTGCTCTTTTCTGGCACTGGGTGCTGCTGCGAGTCAGGTACATCCTTCTTTGGGGGCTTTACAGGCCGGGTGCTTTCCCGCCGGGGGGGGCCCAGCTTGGCAGTCTTGGGCTCTGGGGCCAGTGAGGGCGGCTCATGAATGGAATCGATGGTGGTGGGGGTGGTGGTGTCTGCTTTCCTCTTCACCCCCTTCTTTGTCTGCCAGGAGCACAGATGTGTCAGGCTCCATCCAAAACGGCAACAAGCACAGCTGCCCCTTGAGGTCACCCCTGAAACCAGGTCCTATCTAGTATCCCAACAGTCACAGGACAGAACCCAAAGGCAGTTGCACAGGTGAAGGACAGAGAATAGGGAGACCCTATCCCACCCCTCCTCTCTGTAGCTGGGCTAGAACCAGTCAGTGGCAGGAGGGAGCACAGAACTGCGCTCAGGATCTGTTCACTCCCATGCTTGCATCAAAGCACTTCCCAAAGCTGTTTCCCACTCAGGGACCTCTCCCACAGTGCCCACAGGAGGTAGGAGTCAGACTAGACAGTGCCTGTAAACATGCACAGTCTAAATCAGAGGAAGAAGCCACTGGGAGGAGAAATATAGTTGTGATTTCTCTGGGTCAGCAGGGTACCAGCTTCTGGGAAAGACCTTCCCCAGAAATACTTGCCAGTGCCTGGGGACAGAACAGGCCCCAAGTAAAGCATCAGCAAGGACGGGACCACCTGTCTCCTACAAGCCCTTGCCCCTGGTGACAGGAGCCTAGAAGTGCCTGAGATGCTCACCTTCACAGGCTGTGGGGTGGCCGCAATGATGGGCGGGTGGCTCTGCACAGGCTGAGGGGTGGGAGCAGGTGGGGGTGGTGGCTGAGGGGGCACCGGTGGGGGAGTCTGCAGTGGCTGGGGAGGCACCACTGTCATGACAGGGGTCTGGACGATGAGGTCTGGGGTGACAGCAGGGAAGGGGTGAGGCGTGGCCTGCACAGGTGGAGGATTCTGCTGAGTAGTCTGGGTCTGTGGAGGAGTTGATGCTTGAGTTGTGTTTGGTACCGCGGAGACACCAGGCTTTGCTGTCCCTATCAATCATAAAAAGGACCGGGAGTTAGAGACTCTGCCAATACATGCTGGCTGACCTTACCACACAGCAGCACACATCTGTGGTACACTTGCTTCAGACAGAGTGTCTACATGTTCCAGGCATCACTGTGCCAAAGCCATTATCTACCCCAGGGCTCAGGGAGCAGCAGCACATTGAATTTTGCACTTCCTGGGTGTCCTGGCCTGAAGGACACACCATGCTGGGTGTTTTCATTAGGACTGTGGATGGATAGCAAAGAAATGCTCCTTAGAACATCCAGCTAGAGCTGACCCCATTCCCACAAGTGCTGCCTTCTGAGTGAGCATTCTGGCAGGGCTGCCAGAAGCCATTCTTGGCGAAAAGGTTTCTGGAAATGGCATGATTTCACCCCTCAGAGCCACAGATGGACAGCTGCTGCCCTTCATGACTACCTCTGGCTCTGCCCCTGTAGGCTGTGTGGCCATGTTCAGATAAAAAGGGTTACACAGTATGGCCAACACGCTCCAAAAATGGGGGGTTATGACCAGGACTCTCCCATGAGCAGGTGGACCAGGGAGTTGGAGCCTAGGGCCATGATCTTGATCATTACATCTTCCAAAGGTGCACTGGATAGAAGGAACAGACACTCAGCACTCTGTAAAAGAAGTCTATCTGTGGGGTGTCTTTGGGCAGCACCTAGGCTCTCTGTGAAAAGTAGGTTCCTCCCTTTCCCTGATTTGGATCAGAGAAGATGTCACTATGTCTGCCCTGTACATACACCAAACATATAAGGTATCCTGTCTTCATATAAGGTTATGTGTGAAAAGCAAAGGGGTGACTTGCAAAACTGGTTTCCCTTGTTCACTCCATGCACCTCAGGGGTTCTAAATGTCCCTGTGCTACTACCACTTCAGAATGAGGTGAGAGGCTATAGAAGCCAACAATTCATACCCTTGAAAACATCATCCTGTAGCACAGAGCTACAGGAGAGAGATTTTCCTAGAGAGAAACATTTCTTTCATAACTCTCCGCCAGCTGGCCTCCAGAATCCTGTGTCAATGGGGATGCAGGGACAAGGGAGACAGGACATGCAGAGCCAGACAAGGAAGGCACAACTGACGTTGCTGGAGGTGGGCATGACTATGACACACAACAAACCTCAAGGCTTTTGATCAGGCCACTGCTTAAAACTGCTTCTGATCATATTATTTCCTTTAGAATGGAAAGGCAAGGCTATAGGTATGCTCAGTGGCAAAGCACCTGCCTAGCAAGTGTGCAGCCCTGGGTTCACCCTTGAAAGAAAGACACAAAAAGAAAGTAACCGGAAGGAGAGAAGGGGTGGGAGGGGGGTGGGGAGAGAAATCACTTACAGCAATACAACACTGTCAAGGGGAAAATTCAAATAATGTCAAAATACTTTGGAAAGATTTTTCTTTTTTGTTGAGACAGTCTTGCTATGTAGCTCAAACTGGCCTAAACTCTCCATCTTCTTGCTTAGCCTCCTGAGTGCTGCGATTACAGGTGTTACACTTTGTTTCTGACCTAAGTCCAGGGAACACTGTAGAGAAGGCAAGGTCCACTGACTACTACTTGGGGGAAGACTATAGCATTATAGAACCCTATGGGGCAGATACAATACTGAAACTGATCCCAGTGCTTCCACACAGCAGGACCTTAGTAGATAATCACCACTGCTCCCTGCCTCCCCCACTCCTCCATTAAACTTGGAAAAGAGACAAAACCAATTTGCTTGCTGTTTCTGTACCCTACCTGCTTCTTTTCTCCCTCGTCCTCTTCCTTTTGCCTGGACTATCATGATCTCAGTTTCTTCTGTGGGAAGTTCGTTGATTTTCTGTAAGAAGAGCTTCTCCAATGCTTCTGCCATTAAGACGATGTCATCTCCAGGCTGGATGAAGAGACATGTGTGGTAGAGCCAGAAGCTCTCCCCTCCTGCCTCTGTGGACCTAAGCCACCTCCTCCCCCAATGTGTAAAGCATTGCATTTACACACTTATCCTGATATAGAGCCCAAGGGGCCATAACTATATGCTACCAGGTGTCCCAAGAGGTGCTGACCCAGCATCTACATGCACCTTTTTTCTTTTTGTTTAAGCTCTGGCCTCTCTGGGAAACCATGCTGGCACCTTAAAAGCATCTACCAAGTTCATCCAATCCCGGATAGGGGTCCTCCTTGCTTTAGTTGGCACATCTCAACTGAATTCACTATAAATGCTTAAATTATACAGGATTTCCTGCCATGATTGCTTTAGCAGGGCTTCAACAGTACTCCCCAACATATTCCCAAGGCAGCTTGGTGGGGTTTGGACAAGGCCCATCTCATACTGTTTTATGGATCCCCAGTCTGTCACCTTGTCCAGAACATGCTGTTTTACCACTCAGCTCTGAACCAAGGGCCTGGTTCTTACATTTCACTTCCACCTAAGTGGTGAGAGCTAGACTTTACAAAACACAGTAAACTTCAAGAAACTCACCTACCCATCTCTTCTGGGCAATTTTACCCACTACACCAGCAGAGGTCAAAAGCTGAGTTCTGTATAGTGTCTCCCTCCAGAGTCGTTATATTTGAAAGGGTTGGTTTTAATCACTTCTGTGGTCTGAACTGTAAACAAATGATCTGGCTTCATGGCCGAGCCAAAAGGTTTGGCTACGGGGTTAGAAGTGGCTCTCAGGTTTACATGTAAGATCAAGGCGATACTCAACTCTATGGCCAAGATTTATCAATGGTCATGTCCACAGTTCCAAGAGAGTATGACCCACAGAACAGCTGGGCTCTGCAGCCCACCCCACTGTGCCCTCTCACACCAACATTTCAGTCTGAGCATACCTCTGCATGACTACAGCTGAGTAGGCTCTTTCCTGACAACTCATACCACCCCAGTGGACTGTCATGGGCTGCCACTGTCCTCCTCACATGTTCTCTACTAGACATGCTGAGGAACTAAAACCCCAAGGGTACCAGGAGCACATGCTTCAGGCTCATAAAGCCAGCTTCAAGTGGCTAGAGTATTCCTCCCAGCAAAAGAAACACTCCCAGTCCAAGACACAACTGAAGGTCTCTTCGCCTCCACCTCCACTTCCAATGGTCTGATTCAGATTGGAAGTCCAGCTTCTTCTGAATACCCCAATCCCTGTTCCTGCCTCCTGACCAATCCTCCACCTTCTCTACCTTCTCCTCTTCTCCCAGGGCATCTGGACACCCATCCCCACAGCTCACCTTGTTGTAGATGTAACAATTTGTAAACATAGTGTTGAAGTCCTGGATACATTCCTGAGCATTCCAGTAATAGTTGTTTTCCAAGCGCTTCTTTATTGTTCCCATATCCATAGGTGTTTTAATGATCTTATAGTAATCCTGGGAAGGAAAGAGGGCAAAGGCTAGTGTCACCTCAGCAGCTATCCTGGGAAGGCTAGGCCAGGTCAACCTGTGGGTTTCATTTTAGGTCACCCCACAGGTAAACCTACAGGAGGTATAGCAGAGATGGAAGCTCTTCTACGATGTAAGCAAATGACCATAGGGGATATCCAAGATAAAGTGGATCAGGGAAGGATTCCTAAACACTAGGAAAATGTACAAGCTGCCAACTGCCCTCTCTTAGTTGGTTGTCTTTATTGAAATGTATGGTTTTTTCCTTTTATGTTTATATATCCTTTCATTCTAAATAACTAATGGGGCAAGCACACAGCCTTTTGTTAAAAAGCAGTTCTTACCCAGTAAAACAACCCATAGCTGGTCCTCCTTCATCCATACCATTGGAAATTTTACCTGTTCATAAAATGCATGTGCACACCCGGACACCCTAGGCAAGAAGCCAAGAGGGGACTTAAAACTAGACCATCATTTAAAAAAACAAACAAAAAAACCCTAGACTGTCTGTACTATGCTCAGGCCTCCTTTCCAAGCCCAAATACATCAGCCTCAATTGAAATCTACATTTCTTCCTGTCTCCAGAGTTCCCTAAGAATAGTATTCTGTGTTTGCACTGGCCACAGTGGGTTCAAGTGCCTCAAGGGCAAAGAGGACTGCGAAGGAGAGCTGAGCAGGAGGGAGGTGGGATGAACACAGAGTGTTAGGGAGTGAGACTGACAGCTAGAGCAGTGGGCTTACGGCATGATAAGAAGCCCAAACACAGGTGAAGCTCTGGAAAGCCTCAGAAGAGAGAAATGGGGGAGCTATTTCTTTGGAGTGGGGTGTCTATTAACAGACCCTGTAGAAGAGACAAGCTCTTGCTAGCTCCCAGAAAAACTGGGTGATACTGCTGCTGTCAGACCAGCCCCTCAGTCAGCCCACACCAAGGACTACAGGATGTCTTCACTGCAAGCAACAACCATCCTCCTCTGCGTTCCTCACTCTCTCCTCTCTGAATACATCGGATCAGTCCCACTAGCGATCAGCCCGTTCCCTCACAGCTGTGAAGGGTGGTGTCAATAGGTGGACTGACACTCTGCCAAGAGCAGGGCAATCCCCCTGCTCACTTGGGAGCCCAGCCTCCATTTCTGACACCCAGCCCTTGGCCTAATCAGCTATACACAACTGTCTGTTTCACTTGTCAGTGCTGTTCCCGTGACCTGTGCTGGGAGGATATGCTGCCTCTGCAGAGATCTCAATTCCTCCAGAACCTCCTTCTCCCTGGTCTTTGCTGGCCCAGCCCTCCAAGCCTGTCCTCACTGCATTCTTGGTCCCTGTTAAAGAGAATCTGCTGCCTCTTCCTGTTCTGTGCTGGTGATGGAGATGATAGTGTTAGTGACTACTGATTGATGCGCCAAGTCAGTCCCTTCTAGCACAGTCTGAGCAACACATCTACTACTAGCCTGGTGGACCACAGACCTCTTTAGAGGAGAAGGGTCTAGAACTGCCAAGCACTCTGATTTCAGCTTACCTTGGAAATAGAGGTGAACCTATGAGTCACCCTTCCCACCTTATTTGAATCTCTCTTTTTACAACTTTGCTTAAGATCCCACTATCCAAGAAACCAGTTAAGTGTTTAAGCCACTTTCTTTCTTCTTCCCCATTCCAATTATCCGGAGAAACCACACAAAGGCCTTACAGGATATCGCAGTCAGAGCTCTCACCATAACTTCAAACCCATCCCCACCCTCCCTTGGAATCTGTGGAGACTATGGATGGACAGAGGACCTGGGCCCTGCACAAACTACTCACAGGGAGGTTTAGCTTGACAGCGTCCACAGGCTGCTGGAAAGGCCACGCAAACTGGTGTTTCCATAGTGTCTTGAGCACCACTCTGAGCAAATATTGCAGCTGATTGGTCTGCCTCTTGGGCTTGTTGGGGTTGGAGGTCTCTGGAGGTGGGGGGTTGGTGCTGGCTGCATTGGCTGGCTGGGGTTGGGCCTGGGCCTGCGTTGTGGACATTTGGGAGGTTTCTAGTCCATCCCCCATTACTGGCAGATTTCTCAATCTCGTCCCAGGGCCACTCTCCGCAGACATGCTAATGATCCCATCACATTCTTCACCAGGCACTGTACAAGAAAAAAAAAGTCCCGTCAGAGATGAGGCAGCAGACAGGTACTCCTTGAAAGGATATGGCCCCCGATGCTTGCAAGGACTGAGCTTCCCTGGCAGTGACTGCACAAGTCGGCACAACCGCTCCATGCTGTAAGTGCAGGGGCTCTAATATCCACTCTCCTCCAAGACTCACCATATAACAGGGAAGAGAGAGATCACCTCCCAAGAGTGGAGAACAGGCATGGAGATGAGAGACAATCAGGAGCCAACTGGGTGCTATGGGTGCTATGGGGAGCTACTGGGTGCTATGGAGTCCATGGGGGAGGAATATAATAAAGCCACGTTTCACAAATCTGCACATTTCTTTTCCTACCTGCAAGCATTCAGGAGACAAAGCCTTGAGTGGGAGAAGGTTTGCAGCCCCCTGAGTTTGGCATTTACATTCAAATTCTTGTTTTTATTTTGGCTCATCAAGCACTGAGCCAAATCAGTAACTGCATTTGGTGAGCTGACTCCAAGCCTGCTTGCCACTTGATGGCCCATACAACCTCTGCTGAGGGCTCAGGGCATAGCCTCATTCTTAGAACATTTTCTTAGCAGCTTAATGCATGCATGCTGACAAAAGAAATTATATAAGGTTACTGTTGATTTAAAGAAGAATCCATGAGCTGGGTGTGGTAGCACTTGTAATACTAGCACTCAGAGGCTGAGGCCGGTGGATAGCTGCAAGTTTGAGGCTAACTTGGGCTACAAAGTGAGTTCAAGGCCAGCCTGAACTGCATCGCAAAACTGTCTCAAAAAGACAAAAATGAATGAATGAATGATCGATCCACATGCAACCTACTCTTTTATTAACCAGAAAGAGGTACCTCTAGCGCCTCTTGCTTGGCTGCCAGTGCCCAATGATTAACCTATCTTGTGCCCTCCCATCCCTCCCTGAACCACCAATGAATGAAGGCACTCTGCAAACCCTGCCACAAGCATCCTCAAAATGGCAAGTTTGCATTACCAGTCCAGTTATTCCAATGAGACAAACTCCAAGATACACAACTGTAGTCTGGGGATATACATTGTTCTTAACGCAAATGGCCTTGCAGAAACACAATAATCCACCCTCTACTTACAGGGCTGAGAGTTTCCATGCTGTTAATGAGAAAAAACAAAAACAGATACTCAAATGTGAGCCAGCCAACTTTCATTATTTCTGTGCCCTGCCTATTTATGACATCTTTCTACAGGCAAGAAAAAGATACTACCAGCAGCTGCGGCTGCCTGTATCTAACAAGATCTCTAGGAATCAACCTGGGAGTTTAGTGAGGACAAGAAAACCTTCTGGCTGAGGAAATCAGCCAAGGAATGGCTTTCAAAAAGGAGAGTTTTATGACTACTGGCAGGCAGAAAAACAAGAAAAAGCAGGCGAGGCTGGCTCACTCTGTTGTGGCTCTCATTCTGGAACATCCTGGAACACTCTGTGTAGGTCAAGAACCAGCTTTATACGTAGGCACTTTAGTTGCTGATGAATTATAATTGAGTCCAACTGTAATTGAAACCAAGGATAACATAAACTTCTTTGCAAATGCAGTTCTGTCATACTAACTTATTTTAAAAGCACTATCTTTCTACAAAAAGCAACTCAGTAGTCTGTTGCTGGGGTCTGTAGAGAGCAGGACCTCCAGCCATGAGGCAGGCTAGCAGGTTAGCAGCCTGGCACATCGGTCTGGTCATAGGGGGAGCACAAGGCCGACAAGGTGCGAAAACACTAACATCTCCAGAAAGCCTCTTCCTTTTCTATGGTACTCCAGCTAACCACAAGTACAGTTATTACCACTAAAGAACACCTAAAGAAAGCATGGCTCTAAGAAGAGGCTGACCCGGGGAGGGGATGTCAAGGTTACTTAGTGCAAAGATTCTGAAGGAGCCAGGGAACAAATTGTAACTCAGGAATAAACAAATGATCAGTGGTGATGAAACTATACTGTGGATCTCACAGATCCAATAAAAGAACAAAATCCTTGTTTGCTTCAAGAGGAAAGGATCTGTTCCTCCTTCTTTTTTTTCCATCCCAGGAGAGATTTAAGAATACTTTTTGCAGGCAGGATTGTAGCTCAGTAGTAAAGCCCCCGTCCAAGCAAGTATGAAGGCTGGGGGTTCCACCTGCAACCCTACCCTCTTCCTTCCCCCTAAAACCAGAGAAGGGAGGGATGCAAATAATGTAAACAAACCATTCAGAGTAATCTATTGTATCCATAAGTCACGGAAGAGCAGCCATGGTGTAGCAGCCACTGTTGAACAAAGATTTAGTGATACCTGACCATGTCCAAGATGCCAGATTAGAACTCACAATCTGCACCAGGCAGTCCTAAGCTCTGAGAAGGGTGGCAACCGATGGGAGCTTGCTTTCCCTGGAGGACGTCCAGCTCACCAAGCTTAGACAGGCTACTTAATAAAAGGGATCCAGGGAGGGCTTCTTGAATAAAGCCTTATCCTGGTACCTCTCCCACAAAGGGTACCAGAGATAGGAGGGGACATCAAGAGCTCCCTCCCAAACTGTCACATTGCGCCACGGTGCAATGGACAGGAAGGGTAAAGATAGCTGGGCAGAAATGTCCCCCAAATGAAAGGGAGCAGTGAGCCAAAGTTTAGGACCAAGATGGGGCATTTCCCTGAAGCAACTTCATTTGAAGGTGGGGTTAGTGACTTACCACAAAAGCCTAAAGAGCACCCAGCTATCATCACACACTGCGGTGGCTTCTTTAACTACAACCCCTTTTTGATGCTGTAGAGAGAACCTAGGGCCTTGTGCATGCTAGAAGCATGCTCTGCGACTGAACTCCTGCCATCCCACCTCTACAGTGATTTCTAAAGGCTGACATCTGACTAGGTAGGCCTGCTCCATATGTCAAGGACTGCCCATCCTATTGGGGGTATTTCTGGAACAAGAAGTAACTGCTGTGCAAACCTAGAAGAGTGCCCGTAGTAGGGAGTGATATGCCACTGGAGGGAGGGAAGTACACAGGGGCTATGTAGGGAAAATGATGGCATCTCAGACTGAGCTAGAGGCTCAGAAAAGACAGTATGAGCCCTGGAGCCCTGAGCGAACACACGCCAGTGAAAGAAAGGAAAAGGCCACACACAGATCCATGGAGGGAGAGCACCCATAGGCTGGGGGTGGGGTGTGAACTGTCAGAAACTCTGCTCAGGAGACAACAGTAGAGAGGGATGACAGACCTGCCCTGCACCTAATCTCATGAGTGTGACTCTGCGTATGTGTACACATCTCACAGAGAACATATCACTACTGACCAGAGAGGTGTAGCACAGTAGGGCAGGCCACCCAAGGAAAGGTTGGAGGGAGGCAGTGCCCCAGAGGCTGCATCCAGCTATGCATGGAGCCTGTAGAAACTATTCACTTTCATTCCTGAGGTGACCGTAAGAAGAAAGATGATTTCACCACTAACAGGGAAGACCCCAACCTCAGAGAGGGGTCCATAGCTACTTTCAGAGAGACATGCCAAAGCCTGGAGTAGTGCTGTGGCAGGATCTGCTTAACTGTGTCCCAAAGCCAGCTGGGGAGCACAAACTGGTCTTAGGTGAAGGATGCACTGGGCTTGAGTTTTCCCCCTTTTATTCTCATCCCGGTATTGATGAGGAAAGCCCTAGTTTGATACAGTGCAATGGCTGTACTGTGAGGTGTTAGCACTCAATTTTATTACCCTGAGAGAATGTAACGACTTACCTTTATTCTCAGGGTATTTAATTTTATTTTACTGCAGCTTTTAGGTTCTTTCAAAATACGTGTACTATAAAGGAAACACAACCAATTTAAAAAAGAATGAGCCTACAAATATCAAGTCAGGACTGGGGTGAAGTGACAGTGGTGAGGGCACAGACTACAAGAACACGCTGGGCGACTGGACAGGGCATCAACTAAGGAACAGCATTACACAGAAGTTGCACGGCTGGTGGGGTTCAAGAGTACCTGGAGTCTTCAAGATCAGCACACCCAGAAAGACAAAGGGATGGGAGCAATGTGATCCTACACAAGGAAGGGGACGCTTCCATGTACTGGAGAAGGATGAAACAGGGGTGGAGGGCATAGTGAATATGACTAAATAACAGCAGACTAGGAAAAGTACAGCTGATGCTGCAGGTAAGCTGAGGGCCCCGCCTTGGAGAAGCTCTAGCCCCAGGGCAGAGGAGCAGAAAGGCAGCAAGGACATAGGACAAAAGAGGTCTCAGCTGCTTTCTTCCCACAAAGAGGAAGCAGCCCCAGAAAATTTCCATTAAGTAGTAACATTCTGGAAATCTCCAAGCAACGTCCCTGAGGCAAGAGGAAAGCCAAGGTAGCCAGCTTTCTTGAGCTTTTGGGTGGCTGTGCCTTTTCTCTTTCCAAAAAAGATCACGGCAAAGCCAAAGGACAGGGGGCACTTGCGTGCTCTGGGCTGATGACTACCTTTCTTCACCTTCAAGCCTGGGCCAGACAGGCCAAGGAAGCGGTATTTTCTGTTTATAAGATGGATGGAGTTTCCTTTGGGGGCGGGGGGAGGCCTTTCTTTTGCCTCATCTTAGAGCTTTAAGCCACTTCAACAGCTGAAACACCCCCCAGACAGGCTGCTTACATTTGATACACAATAGCCTTTAAATCTTCTACAGCTCTGCTTCTGGCCTCACTGACTTTTTAAAAAATGGGCTTGGGATGAAGCTCAATGCTAAGGCCTTGGATTCTAGTGCCAATATAGCCAAACAAAACAACCCAACCCAGGAACAAGATCCACATATTCATGTAAAGACTGAAGTCAGTTCCCCAAGGAAAGAAATTGCTGAAGGATGCCAACCAAATGAGCAGGCATCACATGTTCACCATAAGGATTAGACCTGAGAGCCAGGAGCACCTCAGTTTCTCTTAAGAGGCTCTCAGGACAACCATCAAGTCACACACATGACCACCAATGGCTGCCATCAGGTAATGCTGCCTGCGCCAGAAGGTAACCATGCATTGCCTAGCACCTACCCT